AAAGACGATATGAAACAGCTTTAATTAGATTGTCTGTAGATTTAGTTTTGTTGGTATGTTTTTTTTTTCTTTTTTTTTTTCTTTTCCGGATTTATTTGAATTGGTTAATGCTACTTTTAGTGCATAAATGAATAGTATGTTTAGTAAAAAAGAATTCTTTTAAGCTGATTTAGGCTGGATCATTAGTTGCAGAAAAAAAAAAAATCAAACTTTCAGCCAACATTTGTTAGTTGATAATCATTGAATCAATTTTTTTTTTTTGCTGTTACTACTCTGCTTTTTTTTTCTGCTGAAAGTTTTCTCTTACTTTATTCTCTTTTTTTTTGTTTGCAAGAAAAATATTATTAATAGAAGAAACAATAGAATTTTTTAATCACTACAAATGTTGAAAAAAAAAAAAAAAAAAAGGACATCTTGTAAAATTATTTAAAGTTTATGAAGGTTTCTATTTGTTGTCAGCGCTGTTAATTCGGCTAATTATACCATTTGTTTTCTTGGAAGTGTGTTAAGATTTTGCCAAACTTTTAGACAATTTTTATTAAAAATAACCCATTTTTTATTTATTATATTTGTATAAAAGTTATATATTGTATACCAGTGTGTTTTTGAGTGTTTCCATAATTTTAAATAATTCTGCTAATAAACCATTTATTTTAAAATGCTAAAGTGGGGTTGAAAAACAAAGACAAGAAAAAAAAAACAACAGTAATTATAATAATGATTCGATAAATTGCAATAGAATTATAATTGACGCTTATTTTTGCCAAAGAAATTTCATCTAACTTGCTGATACTGTAATTTCAATTATTTTTTACTAGTTCCGTGTTTCTCGCTGAATTTATGACTATAATGTGCGTAAAGCTCGAGCGCTAAATCTTGGCTAGTGATAAGATTATTAAAAAGAAATAAATAAAACATAACATTGTGTTTAATTTAAAACTAACTTACTTAACTCTGTACTCGGAACCACAAACCAGAAGAATTGCTTCTTTTTTTTTTTAAAGTTTTGACTAACTGGTCAAGACTCTGAAACCTCGATGTGTAGATATCAGGATCATTAAAATTCGGGAATCGGTTAATATTTTTAAAACGGAAGTTTTTGGCATCTGTTTCGCTAGTTAAGCGGGTTAAAATTAGTGGGCGGTAGAAGATAAATACTGCTTAAAAATATCAAAGTCAAATCCTCTGGACTAACTAAACAACAACCGGCAAACAAAGTTGTTGCATAGGTTTTGAATCGAATTTGTTTTTGCCGTCGTTGTTGTTATTGTTGTTTTTTGTTTTGCAAAGATGTAGGGACAACTGATTAAACTTTACAAAAAGTCTACAAATGGATGTTACTCGTGAGCAAAAAGAGAAAAAAAAGGTGTAAAAATTTCCGTTTTGTGCTGTTATTTTTCTCACAAATTCATAATTTTTTTTTATTTGCTAATCAAACACTCAACGGCCAATAAGTTCAACACTATGCTTAACGGTTTTATGCGTGTCGTCTTATTCAACGTTCTAGTCTATTCCGAAAATTTACCTGACGTTATAAAAGAAAAAAAAAAAGATTTTTTCTGAGTAGAGAATTTTATTATTCTACGAAAAATTTTTTGAACAACTTTAGATGACAGAAAAAGCATTGCTCTGGTATAAATGTTGAATATATCAGCTTTGGGTCAGTTTTATTTTTTTACACAGACGGATGAAAAGTGTTAATTTTGTGGGAAAAAAAATCAAGCTGATAAAGCCGATAAAGATAAAGTTTTTTTTTGCTTTTCTGTTTTCGCATATGTTTTAAAAAAGTATTTTAGAAGGTAATGAAAAAGACAGAAGCGCAAAAAAAAAAAAAAAAAAA